ACGTTGCACATGGGAAGTTGAAGGAAGATATACGGGTTCAATTCTGGCAGCCTGTGTTGGACATAAAGCAGTTGAATTACAAGGAGCTATCAAAAACAAAGATGAAAGAATTGCAGGAGTGGATGAAGGAGAAGTTTATAGATTATCTTGAAGCAATGTGGCCCAGGTACTGCAAAACAATCCGGTATCTGAAGAGGGTTAATTTCCTTTAGACTTGCGTAGCTGATGTGAAAAGCCTGCTGTTGGCCTGCTAACTGAGCATTTTGTTAACTCAATACTAAGTGATGATCTCGAATACAAAGGCTGTTAGGCTGGTAAGAAGAAGGAAAAATAGAGATATGAGAACAATCATAGGTGCAAAGGGTGGTTTTTAGAGTTTCGTCCTAGTTTCAAAAAAGTTGGAAAAATTTTTTTGAAACGGGTAGGAAACACCCCATTTTGATTTTAGGTCATTGATTCTTGAATATCTTAAAGCTATAAAGGGGATGGAATCCTTTGTAACAAGTTATTTCTCTACCGAAGGCTTTTCTTTTCGATTTTTCAGTGGTGGGGTGGAGTGGGGTAGTCGTCATCAATTCTAATTCCAAGTTATCATTTGGCTCTGTAGTCTCTGTACTATGAGATTTGTATACATTGGATCAATAGCCATGACTTGACAACCATCGTCTGCATTCCTAAAGCTTCTCTTTTTTTAATTAAAAAGCAAATTACTGAACACCATTTTCTGTTGGAAGTGGGGAAGGAAAATCCCACGGACCACGGCACGAGGGGAAAGGCTAAATTGAAACTGAAAGTGGGATTTCATTTATAAATAATAAGAATATTTTACCAACGAGGGGTTTGATCAAGTGGTAAGTGGTTTATTTTAGCTTAAGTAAGGTCTCGAGTTTGAGATCTTGTGTATGTAGCAATTTCCGTTGGGAGACTCACTCACCATTTTCAGGTGTGCGACGCGGATCGATCTGGATTAATCGGGACGAAACTCCGGATACCGGATGAGAAACCAAAAAAAAAAAGAATATTTTTATCCACGCACGAGTGGGTGGATGAGTTCATAGGGATTTTTTTAGTTTAAACAAAAGTTTTAGTTTCAAGTTTTAAAAATACAATTTTGTTAAAACTTGTGAAAAGAGCTTTGTCACCGATTGAATTTTGTTTGACTCAAATTTGAATTTGTAGGTGGTATAATAAGCTTTTGGATATCAAGTGATACAAATAAATAAAAAAATATTTTTAAACTCAATTAAGCTTGGTTTCAAAACTGATCCTATTGTACAGCATTTGGTGGCCCAATAATCACCCTGCAGGACGTGCTTAGAACTAGAGAATTTGATATTAAACCACAAGTCTCCTTCCCCTTCCACAAAAAAAAATTCCATATTGTTCAAAAAAAAACTGACCCTATTGACAATAATTTCTCTTCCCAGCTCAGACCAACCTTGAATTTGAATAATCTCAGACTAAACAAAGTCTCTTTAAAAAGGAAAAAAGAAAAAAAAAAATCTGAATTACCCCATTGGTGAGAGAGAACGGTCCATATATTCCCGCAGGAGGCAGGACAGGATACTTATATACGTACAAGAAAACAATGGTAGACCCGGGCGCTCTCTTTTCTTAATTTCCGCCTCCGACTCGACTAGGCAAGGCAACGGCCGCCTGTTACCTCAGTTTTTCCGGAATTCCTCGGTTTCCACTAAATTTCCGATATGGTTCTTCTCAAACTCCCCTCAGTTCAATTACCCATGTCTTAGAATCCAGTAACATTCTCTAGTTCACTCTGAAATTCTGGCCTTCTCTTCCTTTTTGTCTTAAATTATATGGCTTCTGCGTTTGGTTTAGCTTCAGTTTCTAGCGCTCCCACTTGGCTTTCTTCTCCTCTGCATTCACGGGTATGTTGGATTTTCTCAAGTTATGAACTTTATTTTGGTATGAGTCTGATTTTGAACTTGTACATCTATATGAAGTTATTTGCTTGTTGGGTTCGTATTTATATATTTATTATTTATTTTTTTTGGTCGCATTCAGGGATGATGATGAATAGCAAATGTTTCAATTGGTATTTAGAGAATTGGACAGAATAGATTGGTTATAGGTATTCATGGTTAAAGATAAAAAATTCATGATATTCATATGCTGGGAGGGAGATAACCAACCCTGTATCTTTTTTTAATCCACTCGGGAAAGAACTTAAATACACATGGAATATTGTTATTCAAGGCACAATATTGAGCATGCACTGGAATAGCAATATTTCTGGTTTATTCTAATGTTGAAGATATGAAAATTGTATGAGTAAATTTCCATGCTACTGGTAAAGGGGCTTTTTTAAGTTTTTATTGGATTATTTAGAAGTAAAAACATTATTGGAAAAGGGTCATGTTTATTTTGAATATAGGGAGTAAATACATGTAAAATAGTATCCATTGGCTTGGTTATTCTTTGCATCTTATTTTCGCTTCCTTTTCCCCTTATTAGTTGTTTTGCCTCTATTCTATTCTTTGGAGTCGGTCTCTTCTCTTGCAAGTGTCCTCATAGATATTTGAAAATTATAGGAAGGTAAATGCTCATTTTTCTCTCTTTTTTGGAATATATCTCTTTTCAAATAGTTCTTCCCCGTTTATTTACACTTTTGGTAAATCTTTGAAGAAGAAAAGTTAGATGTTTACCTTTTGTCTGGTTATCATTTTCATTTGAATTTCTTAGCAACTTCCCTCATGAAATTTGACTAAATTTATTATTTTCTACTCCAAAATATCTTCTTCTTCTTCTTATCTAGCTGAGCTTGTTACGGAGATCATATAGTGAGCAGCAAGGTGGTGCTCAGCAGCTTAGAAATCCTAAAGGTAGCTTTTAGAACTTTTGAATATTGGGAATTTGATTTTGATTTGTTATTTGACAATCCTGTAGTTTTTAACACTCTGTCTGAAAATGTAACTTAAACAGCCTAAATCTGATTTATTCTTTGAGCTTGTAAGATTGTATGAGTTATGGTAAACAAGATAGTTGACTACAGCCAGAATTCTAGATTTCTGCTCTTTTTAGATATGTAAATAGAACTGTCCTTGCATCATGCTATGTATGATTTTGAAGATTTGCTTTATTACTGACTGCATTAAGTATGTCTTCTGATATTTTCTTTCTGGTATTCTGAGTTAGTTACATCATGCCACTTGTTACGTGGATTCTTAAAGCCAAAAGCATTTCCAGAGAGACGAAATGTGCTGTTTGCTACTTTCAAAGAACAACAATATGTTGAGCTCAAACCAGATGCTTTGGAGCAGTCAAGTGACCCTTCTGGTTCTGAAGATATCTGTTCAGCTGCACTTTCACCTATCCATTTTGAGGGAACTGATGGAAAATCTGGTTTTGTTTCATTTTATAACCGTCCATACAAAAGAGACGTTGAAGTCATTTCTAATGTGCAAAAGAATCAAAGTAGCTTGTTATGGTTCCTTGGTCCTACTGTCCTGGTTGCATCTTTCATTTTCCCATCACTTTATTTACGTAGAATACTCTCCACCATATTTGAGGACTCGCTGTTGACAGGTATACATCCAATTTCTCTAAGTACATCAAATGAAAGATGCTGTTAGATTAAGGAAGGATAAGAATGATTGACAACAAAAAGTTGATGGTAGTGAAGTTAAAGGATCCTTGGTGACTTTTCAATTTTCAAGGACTGGATGAGTTCTCCTATTCATTTTTAGGGGTGTTTGAAACCTTTTGGCTCTGGCAGCTTTCTTGTTATTAAAGGATTTGAGGGATAACTAGTATAAGAGAAAGAATTTAGGCATTTAATCGTGGACAAACAACAAAGTTAATAATATTGACAAAATTTTAAGGAAATAATGTGAGGTAGATTCCAAATAGAATGGAAATCTGCTGAGACTCTATGCAATTGAAATGTTATAGTGTAACAGTTTCCAAGATTGATGGTTATGATGTGCAAAATTTGATACTTACTCTCTTAATAGTATAGTATTCGAAATGGTTCTGTGTCCTCTACTGCAGATTTCTGGTATTATGCTGAATGCATATTATATTCAATTCTCATTCTAAATGGTCCTGTGTTCTCTAGTGCAGATTTCCTCATATTATTCTTTACAGAAGCCCTTTTCTATTGTGGTGTCGCCATTTTTCTTCTAATAATTGATTGTCTACGGAGGCCGGTTGAGTTAGATATTGCTGCTGATTCCTTGTCTCCCCAACTGGGACAGCGAATCTCTTCTGTTGCTACCCTGGTTCTTAGTCTTATAATACCTATGGTGACAATGGGTTTGGTGTGGCCCTGGACTGGTCCTGCTGCATCTGCTACTCTGGCTCCTTACCTAGTTGGCATTGTCGTCCAGTTTGCATTTGAGCAGTATGCAAGATATCGCAAGTCACCAGCTTGGCCTTTCATCCCAATAGTCTTTCAAGTAAGAGCTGTGATCACTTATTTTTGCCCATTTTTTGAGAGCATTACTGTTAAGTTAGGTGGAAGGAGCAATGTTAAATTTTATGGTAGATTTAATCATTTTCTGTCCAGACATGGTATATTTGATCAATACATTAACTTTACTAATATATTTTTAGAGTATCTTATCAAGAAATGTGTATATTTCCTGAATATTGATCATCCTTGTTCTTCTTTCTGTCTTGTTGAAAACGGATTCTTTTAGTGGTCCAACACATTTCAGATTGATTCATATGGGCCAATTCTCCTACAAATATTAAACAGATTTTTTGAAATGCGACAGGTTTACAGATTGCACCAACTGAACCGAGCAGCACAGCTAGTGACAGCCCTATCATTCACGGTTAGAGGTGCAGAAATGACCTCACATAACCTGGCAATTAACAGCTCTCTGGGAACACTTCTGAATGTCCTGCAGTTTCTTGGGGTCATTTGTATTTGGTCACTCTCAAGCTTCCTCATGAGGTTCCTCCCATCCACTGCCAGGACTACATAGCAAAGCATGAATTCTACATTAGGTTTGATAAAATTTCCATCACATGTTATAGAGTAGAAGACAGCAGTTGGTGTCGTTTCAGTTAATTCTAGGATCTTGAAACAATTATTTGGTTCTGCATTTGCTCTTCCAGAATTTGAATCAAGTGGATTTTGAATATATCCTGTTCCAAGACTACCAAAAGGGTTGTTGCAGGATTATATGAAAATGGAGCTCCTTGATGGTAGGGATAACAAAGAAGATACCGGGGTCTAGTCTGACCTTACAATCAGGATAACATGATTTTGTTAACTTATTCAAAACATGCACTGCAGTTTGTATATTGTTCTTTTGTGTTTATAGATAGTTCATATCTGGCAACTATGCATCTGAAGTGTAGATTGCCCGATTGCTGATATCCCGCATAATTGCTTGTTACATCATCTCCTCATTGAGTTTAGTTTTAGATAACACACATATGAAATTTTATTTACAAATCTTCTAGTTGAACTTGCTGTGTTTCCTGGATGGAAATTGTAAGACGATGATTACAAGATCAAATATATTCTTTTTCCCCTTGCTATAGGATAGGATTAGCAATATGTAGAGTTCCTTTTTTTTTTTTTTTTTTGCTGCTTTCTTCCTTTTCTTTCTTTCTTTTTGGCTAGTTATTTAATTTTCTGCTGAGAACTTGCATTCCTGTTCAGGTTTTCTGCTCTGGTTTTGGGTTTCGATTTACATTAGGCAGCTCTGATTGCAAATCTCATGCACACTATAATGTGGTGATTTAAGCTTTGAGTTAGACAACACGCACACCTTTGCAATTCTACCATGTAACTTCAAATGAATTGACTTTTACAGTAGTTTTTATCAGACTAAAATTCGTGACTCAAGGTTAAAAAGTGCCCCTTCAGACGGCTTGAAACAGTTTTATGATTGGTTTTATTATGTAGTTGCAAAGGACTCCAGAGCACTCCTAAGCTTGGATCCTAACTTCTGTTAACTTACAAAGACCTAAGGTTGGTTCTCAAGGCAGGTATTCCGATGCCTAAGTCAGCAATAGTCAGAGTTACTAAGTATGAATTAAGAGCTAAACTTAAGTTCGGTTTCAATTATCTTTTGGGGAGAACCCTTCGGGGTATTTATAGCCTTAAAAGGGCGTCCATGTGTCATTCTTCACGAGTAATCGAGATCATATGTGTCAATGATCACAGGAAACTCTCTTAAGGGATCTATACATGTACGGAGTCATTGTAAAACAAGAGCAAAGGGGACGAGCTCGAGCTTGATTGATCTCGTTATTCTTTAAACAACGTCTGACTAAATTGTTGGGAATAGTTTAGAACGTCCAAAGTACCTTGAACCACCGTAAGGTGAGGTACGTGACTTCGGACTACCACCACTACATATTAGGGAGTGGTTTAGTACCATTTAAACTTAGGGCTTTTTTGTTTGTTTTTTCAAACTTTCAAGAGTTAGGATGGAGCCTTATGTATGAAATCATATTATTGCTTTTTCCTTGTACTTGTTTAATACACTACTTTCTCCTCTGATACTATGCTCTGTTTGTATTACCTTCTGTGTTTCTATATAAGATTTAGGGAGCCGGTGCCATTATCAAAGTGAAAGGTTGGAGAAAATTGGACCAATAAATATGTTCATAAATCGACAATATATCTGTGAAGTGTGAAGTTCTTACATTATATATGATATAACAATTAAAAGTGAACAAATTTCCGTTGCCGGGAATCGAACCCGGGTCTCCTGGGTGAAAGCCAGACATCCTAACCGCTGGACGACAACGGATTTTGTGTGTGAGGAGCAACATTATAAAATAAAATTATAGTCACTCTGTACTGCAAAGTAGATGATTCAGTTATGCCCCACCAATTTATCCTTTATCTTGAAATCTATCTTCTTCTTCTTCTATTTTTTTTTTTTTTTGAAATGCATTCATTTACAAGACAAAATAATGATATTTATATGAAAATTTTGGATTTAAATGTCTGCTACAAATTAATAAGCTAAATAGGTTCATGTGTCCAAATTAGATCACACAAGAACCATTTAGAAGTAGCAAATCATCAAAAGCACTTAACTGAAAGTACTTTTGTTTAGTCAATTTGTGCAAGTTATGGCCGCTATGCTTATAATTAATTGCACGCAGATGGAAGTTTTGCACATATACATTTATACAGATTATCTAATCTTATGTAACTTGATATATATTTACAAATCATATATACAATATCTAAGTATAAGATGAAAAAGTTACCCCATATCAACTTACCTTGACTTTTGACTTCCAGATATATAAGGATCAAGATCATACCTTACAGGTATATATTTCTTATAGCTATATATTTCTTACAGCTAAGACAAAGTGTAAGTGAAAAAAAAAAAGAAAAGAAAAGAAAAAGAAAAAATGAAATAGAAAGAAGGAGAGCCTCAAACTTACTAGTATGAAAAATGGAAGCGAAGTTTTTAGAAGCAAGGGAGAGGAAGGCAGGAATTGAAGCAATGGAAATGGAGCTTAGAGCCTTAGACAAGGGATTTATTTATATATTGGTTCTAAGTTTTTCTAGGGCAACAAACTTTGGGGGCAGGGAGGTGCGTAGCTGTGGGGCAACAAAACGGGCAGAGAAGCATCTTGAAGGAAGATGCTTTTGGGCAGGTGTTTTTGGCTGCCCAAATATTAAATAAATGCAAGTTGATGCTCCAGGGTTGGTGTAGTGAGGCGGCACACCACCTGCTTTTCTTTAGGTCTGAGCATTGACTATAGGTATACTGTAAGTATTCTACTTATTTTGGTCAGTATTATATTCGAATTATAAAAAAATTAGGTAAGTAGCTAGGATGATAAAGAGAATATTTGTAAATATCAAGATAAGTACTAACTTGTTAATTTAATTTGTTTAAGGTTGGAAGGAAAATATTTAATTTAAGATTGTCCTTTTAAATTTTTAGGTATAAATTGATGGCTCTTTTTATCCCTATTTGGAAAGGGATTTTGCTTGATTCATTTCCTTTTATAATTTAATTTAATTTAATTTATTTCTCATTTTGTATTTTTATTTAGTAGGTAATGATAAATATAATTTTTTGTACAACATTTATATATAATTTTTATATATCATTGTATAAATAAATAAATATAAAATATCATGAACTTTAATAAAGTAAAAATAACTTACCATTAAATGTTATAGTCTTGATTGATTTTAGGGAAATGTACAAAAGAGGAGCAAGAGGGAGAAAAATGGAAGGAAATCATGGGAGGGTCCCTTATTTGGTTGGTCAAATGTCAAAACAGTCCTTAAACTTTCAATTTTGAATATTTTTAATTCTTAAATTATTTTAATCACTTTTTTAATTCTTCAACTCTAAAAATATACTCTTTTTTTTTTTGTTCTTCCAACAATTTAATGCAAGTTTTTTTCTTTCTTTCTTTCTTTCTTTTTTTTTTTTTTCATTTTATCATTTTTATTAATATGGTCTCTTTCTTTATGTTCATGGTAAAAGTAATAATTTTTTACGGATATCTTTGAGAATATATCTAGCATTTATACGGTAGGAAGTTATTCATATTTCATACCAAAATACCCAGACTAGGAATATTCACAAGGAATTAGCAACTACCCTCTTGCTTTGCTACGGTTGAACAATCCAACTCCTCCATATCCATGTAAGAAAGATTATCATCCAATTCCAATGCCACACTTGTTTATAATCAATAACTACTATTAGTAGTGTAGTACCCAAATTTATATTAATAAAAAAAGAATTATAATATACTAATAATATTATATCAAATGATCAACTACTATTGTGACCAAATAATCACAATTCCTTTAAAAAGAGTGATTTAAAAAGAGTGATGACATCTAAAAGCCTAAGATTTAAACTTTGACAATTACCATTTTCAATCCTCCTCAATTGTACTAGGGGAAAAAAAAAACTGTATAAAATGAATATAAACCATATTTCCACTTACACCCCCATTCCATCAGATCCCTACAGTCCTAAGTATTTATCAAAGTGCTAATAAGTGAGAATCAGAATCAGAATCAGAAGAAGATAAAAGCTGTACAGCAGTCATGGAATCAGCTTCAATTCCTTGTGAATACAATTGCCGTGGTTATCCCTAAAAAATTAAATACACCTCCTGCAGCACCAGCAGAACCAGGCAGCAGCACCATCAGTACTGTTGAATAAGACCTTCACCACATCCTTTTTCCAGCAAAGGAGACCGTGCTTTCTCATGGAATCAGGTTGAAGGGCAGACAAGAATTCCACTTTTGAAATTGCAAGAGATTAGGACGTCAAGTCTAAGCACTAGATTGGCATGTGCCCACCAAATACCAATACCAATATTCTGGATTCCTACTTTTGTGTAACTTTTATATTTCACATTGGGATAAAATACAGCATCACTACATCACTATTTTACAAATGAAACAATTAACAAAATCTACATATGCACATTCTTTTCCCCCTTCACAACATCCAACGACTCTAATTCTTTCAATAGCCGATCATACTCGCTGTCAACCTCTCCTATTTCGTTTCTAAGCTGTGTCACCTGCTCCACCAGAAATGATTTAATCTCATAAACTCAACAAAAAATAACTGAGATACAAGTATAAACCCCTTCTCCTATACTCCAAGCATCCGAAACACAAAAGAAGACATCATGTAATAAAGCAGGTACCTTTGCATCAAGTTCTTCACCTCTTTTCTTATACTCCAAGCATCTGAAACACAAAATAAACTCCAATAAATATGGTGCTTAACCGCTGTTTCTCATTCAGAGGGATGAGATACTGCAACAAAAATCTCACTTTGCATGTAATTTCTTATTTTCTTGCATCAACGTATTAGCTTCTTCATCTTCCAAGTTACTTGAAAAAGTATTGGCTGGCTACATAAAATTGCATCAGAAGAGTTATTAATAGAAACTCTTTTTGACAGTAAGATAATCTTTCAAGATAACAAATCAGCATGCATTATTCGAAACACTAATGGAAAAAGCAGGAGATATCATATCAATCTGAGGAAGGAACAGTTAGTTTTGGGCATGTAGCGCAAACCTGTACAATTGCATTGGCACCATTCCCTGCCTGCCGTTTAACCTTTTCAAATTCTGCTAAGTTACCTTGTTCCTTCCTCTTTGTATGTAATCCTGTCCCATCACAAGGAATTTTCTCTAAAAATGGAATCTCTTATTTTTACAAAGAGAACCAGATTATTTCATTTAAGGACTAGCCCTGTGCTGCTCCAACATGAGGGTTGGGTACTGAGTGATGTGCTTTTCCACTTGTCGATCCTGCTTTCATTCTATCAAGAGCTTTGGAATGTTGATTGAACAGAATAGGTTGTTGCATACCACTGTTTCCAGCATAGTCTGATAAAATCTGAGAAAATTCAGGAAGTCAAGGCTTCTTCTTGGGCTGATATCCTATAAGTCCACAATGATAATCCCTGACAGATTTGAACATATAATTCAGAGTTTAGATATCTTTGCTAGAAACCATAAGTACAGAACTAATGAAGGTAAGAGTTGGCTGCCAAGAGAACTTCTAAGGATCACATTTCACAAGTGCATTATGCAGTATCTGAAGGCAAATTCAAACTAAATTTGTTTAACCATAAAAATGAGCCAACATAGCAACAAAAAACATGAAAGTTTACAGATCCATGAAAAGCCATATTTCCTTAAAAGGGAAAAATGGAATAGAAACTGTGTAGCTAATTAGGTAGATGAAAAAATATCTGGAAGCAACTTAATAGGAAGAATCCACAGGGTATAAACATTTCACATGTAATCCAGGAACTACATAATAGCCACCTCACCAGTATTCCCATGTCATTTCCTTCAAGCGACATTCAAGCTTTTGAAAGAGGGAAGTTCTCTCAAAATCTAGTTTATTATGAGTTGGTTCGACAAAATTAGCTTCCAAAGCACCTAAAGAATAAACGCATCACTTAGCATGTATTCATCAAAAGAAAGAATCAACAATCAAGCAATGACCAATTTTGTAGGCTTCTTACCCACCACTCCTCTACCCCTATTATCTGAATAGCTAACAACCTGCCAAAATGGCTGCAAACATTACATGAAGGCATGAGTTTGACTCAGAAGCATCAATTATATAGAAAGAGAGGGTTTGATCTTTAAAGACATGGGGGGACATGCATTTATAAAGCAATGCAAGACCATTAGTCTTCTGACTTGTAAGTTGTAATAGTGACATTTCAAATAAAAAGCTATGTAATAATGGAGAAATCAAATCACGCATCTTCTCTAAGACGCATGAGTAATTAATTACTAAATTTGTGAGTTGGGAAAGTCTAAGAACACAAGGTAGAACTTCTTTACACCATTACCAGAATTAGACGGTTCTTGTGGTAGACACAAAATCCATGGATGTTAACTTGTGGAGATCCTTTAAGAAAACCAATTGTAGTTACTACTGTACCCTGCACACAGAAACCATACAGAGCAGAGTGTCAACCATGGCCACAAAGCAGTTGAATAGATCTCAACTAACAGCATGCACATCATAGACAATTTATATTGAAATTTCACAGAGATATGTCAAGCAACTATCAACATATAGAGATGCATGTAATCTGACAACATCCACACCAGACATGCCCTGATCGTAGTGCCTACAAACAGTTGATAACAGAGGTTCTTCAAAAGAAACTATAAGATAGAAAATATTGGATGATGCTTAAATGGACATACAACTGGAGATACAAATCAAGAAGAAAAAGAAGACCTTTATGGTTCACGTAGTATATCATCATCCAAAGAAGATATTTAGAATGAGACAACCAACAAGAATAAGGTTTGGAAACAGAAAGTCATACCTCCATGTTTCCAACAGATTGAGGCCTCTACAATATATATTCTATGCATTTAAGATCATCAACGACATTATGATGCTCAACAACTTCCCCATGTAATACTATTCTGAAAGTTTCAGGAACCCGCAAATACAAGATGGACAAGTATAACTGCATGGCAGAAAAGACTTCAACTTAGCCTGAATTCTTTTACTTACAAAATATGAAGTATATACAATATACAGATATCATCCATGTACTCACACGCAAAGAATAATTGTATTGGTTAGCAATATGCACTTCATTTACAGCCCTGCCAACCTTTTTGGTGTCCCCTTGAATGCGAATGTCCTACAACCCATATTAAAAAGATTTTAGTGGTGTCAATAGCAAAATAATGAGAGAGAATACAAATAATAATGATAATAATAATAATAAACCTTAGAATCAGAATCAAAGTCTAGCTCCAATTTCCCTTCATTATTGAACCACAAATTGTAGATGATAATTTTTGTGCCATGGGAGCCAATGTCATCAAACTGCAATATACAAGAAAAATAGGTCCTTAACCTACTAGAGAAGTGAAATAATTCAACAAACTATAAGAAAATATAAAAAACTTACTTCCTTCAGAAGCTCAGCTTCTGTTGAATATGGAGACCACTCCAATAACATGGAGAGATTTGCCACAAAATGTTCTCTACAATCTACTACATCTAATGCACCTTTTGACGTATTAAACTCATAATCAACCTGAATTTAAGCAGGACCATACTGAGAAGGTAATGGTTTAAAAATCTAAACAAAAGCTTAAACAAAGAAAGGATACTTACCAAATGAACCACTATTCTGTCATGGCCTGTTCTTGTCAAGAATGTATAAGACAGAAGACCAATGCTCTGAGTTAATGACCTATGTATGTATGCATATACTCTTTATTCATACAAATATCTATAGTTTGTTCTATTAGTGCTTATAAATACCACATTCAAGAATGAATAAATAAATAAATAAAGTATGCAGTTAGAAGCAAACCTATTGTTGAGGTGGTGACCGAAAACAATAACATCTGCTCCAAGTCTCATAGAACTAGTCTTGAAACCATTACCATCTGAAAGACAAATTACATGAGATATGGATTGAAGGAAAGAAGCAACAAAAATTACAAGCTACATACAAGATCGTTACATTGTCCAATAGCAGATTTTGACTTCCTATTTGAAAATCCAAAACTCATACAAAGCCGCATTGCATCAGTGTCCATCCCACCACCATCATCTGATAACAAAGTAACAAATCAAAAGAGGACAAAAGTTAGGTATCATCCTTATCTTAAAAAAGATAGAAAATTTACTATTAATAAAAAAGATAACTTTT